CCTTGCTGTCCCCCATCTAGGCTTCTCTCTCTGAAGGAAAGATCATGGAGGTGTGAATCTGTGTGAGTGTGTGTGTGTGTGTGTGTGTGTGTGTGTGTGTGTGTGTGACGGAACTCCCTGCCCCAACATTGTCACTCTAGCCCTGAGTACCACTGTCCCTCGGCCTTCCCAGCCTGCAACACCAAGCACAGTCATTTCCAGAAACCTCTACCTACACTTGTTTCCTGAGTGCTGTCTAGAGCTGACCTGCACCTGAAACCAGATGATGCCAGGGATTGCCTTTAGACGACATGGCGGCTGTCCAGCTCAACTTCCTCCATTCCAACTGAGCCAGCTGTTCTCACAGGCACCATCTGCGCTCATTTTCTTCCTTTCTTTCTTTCTTTTTTCTCCTCAAGTGTGAAAGGAGCATTCAAAATGCCTTTATGGAATATGTCTGCAATGCAGACTTTAAGCCTTTCTTGAAAACGGCCTACTCTCTCAAGTATCTGCATGTAATTACAGTAGGGACTCTCAGATCTTCTGTTTTATTTAATGATAAAACACTAGTATTTTTGTTGGCGACAGCGTAAGTCTGCGTCCAATCAGGAGGGGGAAAGTACACAGTAATTTGAACAAGGACAAGTTTATTCTACAGAATTATTGGGGCAGGGGCACCTGGGTGGCTCAGTCGGTGAAGTGTCTGCCTTCCGCTCGGGTCATGATCCCAGGGTCCTAGGATCCAGCCCCATGTTGGGCTCCCTGCTCAGCGGGGAGTCTGCTTTCTGCCCCTCCACCCCCCCACTCATGCTCTGTCTTCTTCTTTATCTCAAATAAATAAATAAAATCTTAAAAAAAAAAAACAGAAGAATTATTGGGGCACCTGGCTGCCTCAGTCAGTGGAGCATGAAGCTCTTGATCTCAGGGTTGTGGCTTCAAGCCCCACACTGGGTGGCGAGATGGCTTAAAAAAAAATCTTAAAAAAAATGAATTATCAACTATAACAGGGTAGAGAAATGAGGGCTTGGAATGTGTGTTAGTTTCTCAGGGCTGCCCTAACAAGTTACACAAACCAGGTGGCTTAAGACAACACAAATCTATTCTCTCATAGTTCCGGAGACTGGAAATCTGAAATCAAGGCAACAGCAGGGCCATACTCCCTCTGAGATCCCGGGTAATAACCTTCCTTGCCTCTTCCTAGCTTCTGGTGATTGTTAGCAATCTCAGGCATTCCTTGGCTTGGAGATGCATCACTCCACTCTCTGCCTCTGTTGCCACATGGCATCTTCCTGTGTCTCTGTGCATGTCTTCACGTGGCGTTCCCCTTTCTATCTGTGTCCAAATTTCCTTCTTCATACAAGGACACCGGTCATTGGATCAGCACCCACCCTAATCCAATTTATGACCCCACTTATAATCCCAAAGATTCTATTTCCAAATAAGGTCACAGTTACAGGAACTGGGGGTTAGGATTTGAACATATATTTGAGGCGGGGGGGGGGGGGGGGGGGAACACCATTCTGCCCCCTACAGATAATAGGAAGTAAAGATTCTAAAGAATGCAGGAACAGCAGATTTAAGAAGTCACTACCTCAGCTGGGGATATAGCACTCAAGGAATAGCCTCTACCTGGGCCTCCCTGGGGTGAGATCCAGAACTTTTTGGAGAGAGCACAGAAGTTGCTGGGGTGCTGCCTCTGGTGGCACCTGCTGGAAATCAGGGAAACTTGCTGGGATGCCAGGGAAAACTGTTCACAGGAAGGTGTCTCAGAGGCACTCCAGCAGAGAACCGTCCAAGGAATATACCGGGGGGAGCTGCTGGCCCCGCCCGGAGCCCGCCAGGAGCCCAGCACTGGAGAAGCTGCCTGCATTTCAGAACCTGGGAGCGGGGGAACCCACTTGTACCCCAGGATCCTGCCAATAGGGCTCACTGGAACCAGGCAACGAACCCCTTTTTTTCTGCAATGGCTCCCCAGCTGTCTACTGACAAATTTAATATGATGCCAGTTGGCAAAGAAAATATATTTAAAGGGCTCAGATCCTTTTCACAGAGGAGGCAAGAAGGATGAATTTGGAGCTGATAGGTAATAAATTGGCAACTGGTATAGCGACATACCATTGTTTCAGATATTAATGGACATCTCCCTTCACCCTTCTTGATTCTACTTTCCTCAACCTTCTCCCCATCTCACCATAAGCCCTATCACTTTATCATTCAGTTCTTCTACACTTGACACCTTCCTATCATCTCTCCCTCAAAAAGAAAAGAAAGAAAGAAAAAGGAGACAAAGAAAGAAAGAAAAAGGAGACAAAAAAGAAAAAGAGAGAGAGGAAAAAGGAAGGAAGGAAGGAAGGAAGGAAGGAAGGAAGGAAGGAAGGAAGGAAGGAAGGAAGGAAGGGAGGGAGACAAATACAGTACTGGTGGCAGGTGGCTCTCTAACTGGGCAAGTGGAGTTAGACCAGAGGCAGGACCAGCTTTCTCAGACCAATATAAATTCTGGCAACTCATAGTAGCTGACCAGAGTGGAAAGCCCCGAGAGGTGGGTCTTGAAAGCTCCTCACCTGGGGAATTAAATTGATCAGGAATTGCTGACACCTGGCTGGGACAAGCCCTTTAAGAAGAAAGAGAGCTGAAGCTGCAGGAAGTAGCAGTAAATGCCAATTTTGTATACAGAGACGAAAACTCCAACTTCCTGGGGATAAGCACCTGTCTATCGCCAGGCACAGCATGTAGAAGGTGTTGAAATCTTGTTAAATGGCTGATGCCAACCAGACCAGCAACCCAAACTCAAAGCTTCCTGTCATTTTTCAGGGGTGGTTCTTAGCAAAGGAGCTCTAGCTGACCATCACACCCCTCCCAATACCCAACAACCCAACACAACCTGCCCTACCCTGGCTGATCTGGAGCTCAGCCTAGAGGCTTCCGCAGACAAAGGTATTGAGCAGAGCTGGCTTGAGGGCCAGAAGGGATAGTGTACTCTGAGAGAAAGAAGAGATAGTTTTATCATCTGCATTTTGCGTGTAACCCGAGACTTAATTTATCAGGCACATTCAGATGTGTCTTCTCATTTGATCTTGATCTTTCAAGTCGATTTTGAGATAGGCATGACAGCGTTTATTGTTCCCATTTTACAAGTGAGGCCACTGAGGCCCAGAGTCTAAAGGGGCCCAGAGTTTCTGGAGAATGAAACACTCATGTGTCAACCTCCAGCCACATCACCTGCCCCACTGAAAGCTATGTGGGGCCTCTTGCCACTGGATCAGCACACACTGGCCATGCCCTAGAGCGTGTACACAGGTGGTGGGTTAAGGTAAGAGTTGTTGAAATGGTAGTCACAAAGAAGGCAGAGGTGAGACCGTGAGGCTCTTAGGCTCACCATTAGTGGCCTGGGCGTAGGGCCAAGACACCCCAGTCTACATTAGACTTCAATTTGATGAACTCCAGCACCCCAACTTAGGGTCTTAGGGCTGTGCCCTCTCTACCAGATTCTCAGGCCCAGGCCCTTTCCTTAGGCTACTTCCTTTGTCCTTCGTGTTGACTTCTTCAGGAGACCCAGAGAATCAAAACTCTCATCGGGCATGCTCTGCCCTTGAAAGCTTTTCTTGCCCTGGGGCTTAGGAAGCACCTGTTTAAGCAGAAAAGTGAGAGCCTGCAAGAGGGGCTCTCAACTCACCAAGGTTGAGAAGGTTCTCCAAGCACTCACAACTGGAAGCATCACCATACCCCTAAGGAAACATCTTCAGGCACCACACAGCCAGCTGGGATCCAGGGGAGAGAAAACCTCTAGCTGAAAGAGCTGCTGCCTACCCTCATCAGAAGTTTGATCATGGATTTCCAGAGGTCCCTGCAGGCCTTGTGTTACAAAGAGTTGGCTGTAGTCCTGGGAGAGCTATCTGGATAAGTCCTTGCCTTACAGAGCTGGGGAGGAGTCTTCACTTTCCACACCAGCTCTTAACGGATTTTGCTCTTTGCATATCATCCTCTCTGTGTCATTACTTTTACCACTAAGTCCCAGAAGAGAGAATTCGGCTGGGCTGGGTACTCTGCACCTTCATCTCAGACCCAGGATTCTAGGCTTCAGGCTTTCTTGTTCCACCAAGAAAATAAGTACAGGTTTGGACCAGAGAATTCTGGCGAAGAAGAACTAGTGGAAGCGCAGGCTCTGGTTTGGCGGTGAGGATGCCTTCACAGTGCAAGAAGTTCGTGCATGCCCACTTCCTCCCCACCAGTAGCCCAGCTCCAGGTAAACGTTTCATGATACAGCCTCTCTAGCAGCGGGATTTCATCCCCGATCCCTTAATAGTAAAGACTACTACTATTACTACTACTACTATTACTAAGGACTGTTTCCCTTGAAACAGGGCTCGTGGTAGCCCGGAACAGAGAGGAAAGCTGCCGAACACCACCGAGCACGGCAAGGTGGTTATTGGTGCGCAGCAATGACGCCCCTATACTGAGCCCTCGGCGCGGGCCACACAAACCCCCACAACTCCGGGAAGAAGATCAACGCCCCCAGCCTCCTCCCAGTTTTGGCTCAGCCCAGGCTCTCCGGGACGTCGCGCAAACACTGGGGCCGGAGGTGGCACTATCCCTAGTCCCCGGCTCCTAGTCCCGCCCCAAAATCTTCTCTGCGACGTGGGGACCCTTTCGAGGATTCCCGGAGGGTACCGGAACCGCTCTCAGTGAGGCCTCTCTAGGAAACTGGGAATTTCACGTGTCGTTAGTATTCAGTTCACGTTTATTGGCCTAAGAACTAAAGAACCGGAAGATGCCCTTAAAAAACGTGGCGGCACTCTATTCACTACAGCTGCCTCAGTAGCTCAAGAAACTTGGCCTAGTGTTCAGCCACTGACTGACTGGCCTTCAGAAAATGACACCATCCGGTCCACTTCGGTTGATGGGGGACAGAGCTACCTGCCCTCAACTATAATGGCGGCGCTGCCCAATTTGGCTTCTTGCCCCTAGGGAAGATGGCTGCCAGATGGCTTCACTTAGTTTCTCACTACCCCGGAAGACGGGGATCGGCGATTGGGCGGTGCCCGAGGGCTCGGAGAAGAAGGCCCTTGGCGGTTGGGCAGTGCTGGCTAAGGCTAGTTTTAAAGGAGCCGGAGGTGGGAGCCGTCGAAGACCCGGGATTCGCGGGAGGCGGCGGTGAGCGGCGCGCGGGGGAGGGCACCGAGCGGCTGGAGAGAGGGCGGGAGGAGGGAGGGAAGGAAACATTTGAACCATCTGGTCCCGGGCTGGGGAGAGCGCGGGGCGGGGAGCCGGGGAGGGGGGAAGGAAGGGGTCTGTGGGCGGGACCTCCCGGGATTGGAGTGAAGGGGGTATCTGCTTGACAGTGGATCCCCGGGGATCCGGACTGAGTTCGTGATGCTCAAGCTCGGGCCGCCCCTGTCTGAGTGGAGCTTTGCGGAGCCCAAACTCACAGTGAGAGGAGGATCCTCGCGGCTTCTCATTGGAGGAACCGCGCTGTAGGATTCTTTCCGCAGGGATCTAGTCTAGGGGATCTGGTGTGGCGGTGGGGGGGGGAACCATCGGTGTGTGGGAGTATTGCTTCGGAGTTCTTGGCCACTCGCTGGCAGTGGATGAGGATTACAGAGGGATCCGGCGGAAAGTGAGCCTCCCAGGACCGGGATCCCAGCCGATCCCGGGAGATCTCAGGGCGGATTCTGCAGGGACAAAGGCCCCAGAAGCTCACTGGGGCCTCTGCAAGCCAGGTTCTCCCGGCAAGTGCCAGTCAGGGCGCGGGTGATCCACTGATCTCGGGCGACGGCAGCGGGAAGACATCCGCTCCGGGCGGCCAGCCGGGGGCGCCCTGTCACGCCCCAGGGCTTCGGCCCGTGGGCTACCGGGAGCCGCGGGCGGACCATGAAGGGCGGAGCCCCAGGGGAGGGGCTGGCCCTCACTCCCCGCTCCCCCGCTCCCCCCCCATCCCAGGCTGCCGCCTGGGATCCCCCAGGGACTCCCCGGAGCCGCCGCTTCCCCCATGGACTTGCCCGGGGACTCCAGGTGAGAGCGCACCCCGCCCGCCTGTCTTGAGCACGGGAAACGGGGAGCCTAGCGGCCGTACCGGGGAAACCACAGAGCCAACGACAGGCTCAGGCGACCGCCCTCTGCTTCTCTCATCCTCCAGTCCACCTGGCCGGCCACGTCTGTGTCGCCAGCCTCTGGCTCGAGCATTATGGGGAGCCAGGAGCCCCAAACGGCCGAGACTGCAGTCTCTAGCGGCCCCTTCACCTTTGGAAAAGGCCTCTCGGCGGGTTTTGGCTGTGGTGCTGGAAGATGTTATGGCTGCCCACATGGTGAGCCCCCCGAACTGAGAGGCCCCCCTTCTCCCTGAGGCCCCCTCTTCAATACCAAAGTCAGACCAGATCACTAGTGAGGATAATTGAGATCCAAATACCTCATTCTCACACCCTTTGCTAGGCAGCCTCCCTAATGCTAGAGTCCTACTTGGCTCTCACTTAATCCAATCTAGATTTGGGCAGGGTCTCTAGTGCCCATTCCCCACCATCAACCCTGTTGGGCTGGAACCACATCTCTACAACTCTTAAGTATGAGAAACCCTTGCTTTCTTCCCAACCCAACGTCTAGGCAATTCTTGGGAAGCAGGCTGAGGTCTTTGGCTCCATTGCATAGGTTAGAAAAACAGGCCCCAAGGGCACCTGGGTGGCTCAGTCGTAAAGCGTCTGCCTTCGGCTCAGGTCATGATCCCAGGGTCCTGGGATCGAGTCCCACATCGGGCTCCCTGCTCAGCAGGAAGCCTGCTTCTCCCTCTCCCACTCCCCCTGCTTGTGTTCCTGCTCTCGCTGTCTCTCTCTGTCAAATAAATAAATAAAATCTTAAAAAAAAAAAGAAAAGAAAAACAGGCCCCAAATAGGGCAGTGACTCACCCAAGGTCACTCCTTTTTCATTTCTCCAAACAGCCTGGCTGAGATTACTGCTGCCCAGGATGCTGTAATAACTGGCCCTGAGACTGATTCAGTCCAACGCACTTCTTTGGGTTCTCAAGTGAATTCTAGCCCTAATCTCTGTCACTTTTGTGGCATACGGCACTATTAGGTTCAGGGAGGTCCTGTCCAGTCTGACCTCATTTCATCACCTTGCTCTTGACACTTCCTCCTCAATTAGGTTCCCCTGGTGCCCCAAGAAGAGACCCCCACCCCACGGCACCACAGCAACCAACGGGATTCTGTCCGCAGCCAGCCACCTGCCTCACCACCCCAACAGGCCACGTGGTCCTCACATACCAGGTGAGCATGGCGGGATGGAGGGTAAACTAGAGGCCTACCGGAGCCCCACTGATCTTCCTGTTTCCTCTCTAGGCCTCCCGACCCACTGGACCCACTGCGCTTATGCCGAGAGCCCCTGAGCCGCATCCACCGGCCCTCTTCTACCCTGAGGCGGCGATCAAGGACAACCCCTGGCCCAGAGGCGGGCCCTTCACAAAAGGTGGACTGGACCCCCCAGCCCACTCTGGTGGTGATGCTAGAAGACATTGCCAGCCCAAGACCCCCAGCTGAGGTATGAGAATTTGGGGGTAAGGATGTCAGGGGTTCAGCTGGGATGAGTTTTGCTCAGAGCAAGGAGAACAGCATTTTAGATGGAAGACGCAGAGGAAAGACCTATATGAAAAAGTCTTTGGGGGGCGCCTGGGTGGCTCTGTCAGTTGGGCGTCTGCCTTTCAGCTCAGGTCATGATCCCAGGGTGCAGGGATCGGGTCCCACATCGGGCTCCTTGCTCAGTGGGAAGCCTGCTTCTCCCTCTGCCCGCCTACTCCCCCTGGCTGTGCTCTCTCTGTCTCTCTCTCTAACAAATAAATACAATCCTAAAAAAAAAAAAGAAAAAGTCTTTGGTGTGAACCCTGGCAGGCTTCTGGACACTTGAGAGGGTCAGAATGTGGGGAGCTAGGGAGGCCATAGGGGGCTTCCCTGCCTCCCCCAGAACATCCTTTGTTTACATCCAGGGCTTTGCTGATGAGACTCCCAACTTCCTCATCCCAGCGAGAAGGTAAAAGGGCTGGGGAAGGGATTATCGAAATGTCCAGGCAGCTAGAGCTAAGGGCATCAGAATTTACTTGTCCAGTCCTTGCCTGTAGCACCTTCTGAAGCTTTAAGGGACAGGGGAGGTGCTGGCTCAGGTGGGATCTGAACCTGGGAGCTCCCTCAGCCTTTACTTTGCCCCTTCACCCCAGAGCTGAGCCCATGACGATTGTTCACCAGTCAATGCCTCCGTCCAGGGACCTGGATCCCCCATTCCAGCCATCTGCCCTGCCTGAAGACCCTCCAGAGACCCCACCACCAGGTAAGGACTCAGAGGGATGAGATTTAGGGCTCTGTAAAATCCTGGCTGAGCTTAAAAGGGGCAGGGGCAGAGCAGAGGCGGGGGGTGAGGCTTATCTCCCTCCCTGAGGGCAGTTTGGTGTGTGAAGTTGGGGTATAGACTTCACAGGCCTGATGTTCAACTCCTAAATTTAGGGCTCGGTATTTTAGGTGTGGGCTTCTACCTCTGTGGGCAAAGCTTAGTGTTAGGGGGAGGGGCTGAGGCTACTGAAGTAGGGCTTAGGCACTTGCAGCCGAGGAATGCCCACCTGAGCCTCTCCTTTTTCTCAGCCCGGGATCCTCTACTGGAGCCCCCATCGATCCCACCGCCGTCCAGCCTTTTACGCCCCCGCCTCAGTCCCTGGGGCTTGGCCCCCCTCTTCCGTTCCGTCCGCTCCAAGCTGGAGAGCTTTGCTGATATCTTCCTCACACCCAACAAAGCCCCACGGCCCCCACCCCCATCACCCCCCATGAAGTTGGAGTTGAAGATTGCCATTTCAGAGGCCGAGCAGTCCGGGGCTACTGGGGACACTGCGTCTGTCAGTCCCCGGCCCCCTATCCGCCAGTGGCGGGCCCAAGACCACAATCCCCCCGCACCGCTGTCTAAGCCCTCTCTGGGCCGAAGCCACTCCTGCCCTGATCTGGGGCCCCCTGGCCCAGATACCTGCAGCTGGCCCCCTGCTCCACACCAACCAAGCCGGTCACGGCCCCGGCGGCACACTGTGGGTGGTGGAGAGATGGCCCGAGCCCCACCACCCCCTCGGCCCTGTCTCCGGAAAGAGGTCTTCCCTCTTGGAGGAGTGGGAGGCTCTCCTCCCCTTGTCACATCTTGCTCGTCCACCGCATCTTCTTCCTCCTTCTCTGAACCTGCAGAACCCAGGTAGTGCTCTCGATAAACCCTTCTTTTTTTTTTTTTTAAAGATTTTATTAATTTATTTGAGAGAGCGAGCGAGCATGTGCACAAGTGGGGGGGAGGGCGAGGCAGGCTCCCTGCTGAGCAGGGAGCCCGACATGGGGCTCAATCCCAGGACCCCGAGATCATGACCTGAGCCAAAGGCTTAACTGACTGAGTGAGCCACCCAGGCGCCCCTCGATAAACCCTTCTTAAAGCCCTGGCACAGTCTGGGCTCAGCCTCCTTCCCTGTTATCCAGTGGGCAGGCGATGGGGATATTGCTATAAATGTTATTTGTCCCTGAACCTTGACCTTCTCTGCAGGTTGGGTTCAACCAAGGGGAAGGAGCCAAGGGCCTCAGAGGACCAGGTGCTTTCAGACCCTGATACCAAGGTAGGAGTACAGATGGGGGGAGGAGACAGGTGGGAGCCTGAGGCCATGCTGCACCCTTATCCTTTGCCCTATTTTTGCAGAGCATGGGAAAGGTTTCTCGATTCAGAATACGCAGGACGCCAGCCCGTTCTCAGCTCAACCTTACACCAATGGGGCTGCCTCGACCAATCAGGTGAGTGGCTCAGTGTACACAGAGCTGCCTTGGCCAGACAGGTTGTAGGCTCAGATCCCCTGAAGTGTGGCTTTGTCTTCTCTCAGGGAACACAATCCAGCTTGGAGGAGTCAATCTGGTCTGGACATGGTTTGCCCTTAGAACTATCTGTCTGCCTTAGGCAGCACTCCTGGCCATAGCGTGTCCCAGAAACTGAAATATAGACCAGGCCTCGCTTATCCTTTTTCCAGGGTACGATGGCCCTGAGTTTTTCAATGGCCTTGGGTTTTTCAATGGCCTCTGCTCTTTGCTCCCAGGTTGAACAAGAAGGAGTTCAGCTTAGAAGAAATTTATACCAACAAGAATTATCAGTCGCCTACAACCAGGAGGTGAGAAACTTTGAAGGCTTGGGGGTGATAGAGGGAAGGCTGGAACCAGGGGCCATGCTGGTAACCAGCACCCCTCCCTGCCTGGTCCAGGACCTTTGAGACCATCTTTGAGGAACCCCGGGAGCGCAACGGGACTTTGATTTTCACCAGCTCAAAGAAGCTTCGGCGGGCTGTAGAATTTCGGGACAGCAGCCTTCCTCGAACCCGGCGGCCCTCTCGTGGGGTCCGGGCTGCAGCTGGCAGGACCCTTACCCCCAGCCTGGCCCCCAGCCCAGATGTGGGACCTCTGCTGCAGCAGCGGCTGGAGGAGCTGGATGCCTCACTCCTGGAAGAGGAGGAAGTGGATAGGGAGCGGCCCCATCGGACCTAGGAGCTCCACCTGTTTGTTCATCCGTCCTGAAGCATCTGGGGCAGTTATATATTTTTCTCTATATTTCTAGTAAAGTTTTCGATATGTTTCTGATCCTTTTGTTACGTCTCTAGCTGAGTTTGAGATTGACCGTACTGCCTGATGTTTCTACCTTGGCCCCCAAAGACTGGGAAATGGGGGAGGTGCCAGGGAAGACAATGAGGGTTGGATACAGGAAGAAGTGGGGGAATGGTCACCGGAGCTACTTCCTTGATTTGAGAATTTTCCTGTGTGGAGGGATACTTCGGAACCTACTTCAGAAGATACTGTGACCCTGGACCCTGCTCAGGGTTCTCTAAATTCACTTACAGCAAGGAGGAGACTGAGGGACCCAGAGTGGACCAAGGCCTTGATCAAGATGGCTCTGAAATCCTCCTAACATGCAGGCCAGGACTTGCTTCTGGATTCAAGAGATAAAAGTAATCAGCTATAATTGAGCACCTCCAACAACCTATCATATGTACTTGACTTGCACATAGTCCTGTGAAAGGGAATTATACCCACTTTACACATAAGAAAGTAAGTTGAGGGGCTCCTGGCTGGCTCAGTTGGTGGAGCACACAACTCTTGATCTCGGGGTGTCATGAGTTCAAGCCCCACGTTGGGTGTAGAGATTACTTAAAAAAAAAAAAGCAAGTTGAATGTTATAATGTAATGTCCTCATTAAAACGGTAACCCAGGCAACCAGAGGCCAGAAGTGGCGTTCTCCCATCTTTTTGAAATTTAGAGGCAGAATAGAGCAGTGGCTAAGAGCACAGACTGTGGAGTTAGACTTGAGTCCAAACCCTGTGTAGGAAACTGTGCATCAATTCCCCTCCCTCTCTGTAAAATGGGGCTAATAGCAGTACCTTCCTAAAAGAATTCTTACTGCCAAGTGAGTTAACATGTGAGAAAAGTAGCCGGCGCACGAACGCACGGTGTATTTTTCCTTATTAGCACGCGGACACCACAAGCCAGCACTTTCCCATTGAAGGGAGCGATAACGGGACGCAGTTTCCTTCCCAGCGCGCCTGGCGCTCGCAAGGCACGCCGCGTGCTCGGGCAGCCCGGCACCGCGGGGGATCCCACTGAGCTGCCAGCCGCTCGACAGTATCACCACGCGCGTGCGCGAGAAGCCAGGCGGCCTGTGGGCTAAGCCAAGCGGCGCAAAGGCGGAGACGACGTAACTGGTAGTCGAAAGGAACCTTCCGCGGCCACACGCCGCCAAGCGGCCAACCGCCCCCTAGGACTCGCGCACTACATCACGACTCTTAGTCTCGGCGCTGTCTGAAGACGGACCAATGAACAGAGAGCAGGAAGAGGCGGGGTCACCTGGGGGACCGCCCCAAGCGCCTACTTCTAACCAGTCGAGTCACAAGACCCGATGAGGGGCGGGGCTAATCTGACGTATACCCAATCCCAGATTTGAGGGCGGTTACATATTACCCACTCCCCGGAGCTTGACTCCGCCCTTCGCCTTGTCGTACACTTCTCAACCTATCAACGACTAAGCTGTGGAAGGGCGAGGGGAAGGGGGCGGAGAGTGGGAGGAGGCCCAGAGAGGAAGGAGGCGTAGGCTGAGGAGGAAGAGGGAGGAGGGGCAGGGAAGTCCTGGCGGAGAAGAGGCTCAAGACGCCAAAGGAGACAACAGGAGGGTGCGCTGGAGCTCCCCCGCCTCCCAACGGCCGTTCCGGATCCCTTACGGCGCAAGTCAGGCAGAGTCGGAGGAAAGGAGGAAGAGACTTTTATGTCGGCAGACAGAGAAGCTCTACCCGTCACCGTTGCCTCACATCCGGGGCTTTGGAGGGCTGGCCCCGCGGCCCCGCCCCCCCCCAGCCTTTCATGGCGACCGGAGGCGGAGGCTGGAAGAGCCGGGCCTGGAGGAGGCCCCTTTAAATCTCCTTAAAGGGGTGGCCGGTGAACTCGGCGACTACAACGGCAACCTTAAAGGGAAAGCCATCGAACAGAAGCTGACAAACTGAGAACTGTGCTGTTGGGAGACCTGGAGCGAGTGGGGATTCTCACCTCCTTTTCTCCTCCACGCAAGAAGTTCTTTAAACTCAGCTTAAAGGGGAAGTGGCCGCTTGGTGGAGGACCAGAAACTTAACTCCCGAGTCCTTAAAGGGGCGGCCTGCTGTTTGGAGGACCCTGGACTCCTTAAAGGGGTGGCCTCTTTTAGCCGGAGGACTGGAGACACTTTTAAAGGGGAGGTCTGCGTTTCGGGGCGAGCTTTCGGTCCCTTTTAAAGGGGTGGCCCTTCCTCTTCCTCGGGGAGACTTGTCTCGACCCCTGGCAGGGGGCGACCACCGCACTAGGCCGGCTGGACACCATCGGGTCGTCTTAAAGGGGTCAGGGGCTGGACAACTTGAGGCCTCGCCTTAAAGGGACGGCCGCCCTGTTTTCGCCTTCTCGGCCCCGCCGGCCCCACAGGGGGGGCCCTCGGGCTTGTCGCCCCGGGGGCGGCGCCGGCTCCCCGGGCTTTGGCCTTGGGGCAAGCTCGGGGCCAGTAGATCCTGCTTTAAAGGGGAAGCCGTGGCCTTTTCGTCCCTGTGCAGCCGCCAGCGCCGCGCCTGCGACCCCGGGCCTGCGGACAGGCCGCTTCGGGCCCCGCCGCCTCCGGATGCGGCGCTGAGGGCGGTCGCCATGGAGACGGCAGCGGCCGCGGCTCCGGGCCCGGGCTGGGCCGCCGAGGGGGAGCGGCGGCGGCGGCGCTGCTCGCGCCGAGACCGAGACCGGGAGCAGCGGCGCCGCCGAGGTCCCGGCGGCGATGCGCCCCGGGCCCTGTTGGCCGCCCCGCGCGGCTCCTCGTCCTCCTCGTCGCCGCCACCGCCCGCCAGGCCTTGGTCGTCAGCTTCGTCCGGAGAGCGGCCCGGAGGCCCGAGACGACGGCGGCCCCGTCCCAGGCCTCGGCCCCCGCGACCCCGAGCTCGGAAGCGGCCTGCCGGCTCGGGCAGCCGCGGGGAGGAAGAGGAGGAGGAGGAGGAGGGGGGCGCAGACGACGGGGAGGCCGAGGAGGAGCCTGAAGAGGAGGAAGAAGAGGAGGAGGATTTGATCGATGGCTTCGCCATCGCCAGCTTCGCCAGCCTTGAGGCCTTGCAGGTGGGGGCTGATGGAGCTGGGGACCTTTGGGGGCTTCAGAGGGGCGGAGAGAAGAGTATGGTGCCTGGAGTGGGTGGAGTTGAGGGGGGAATGCTGGCACCCCAAACCAGAGCAACCGGCTCCTCTGGCCAGGTCTCTGCCCCACCCTGGGGTGGGAGGAGGTAGAGTTAGTCTCCAGGGACCAGCCAGGTTACCCGGCCTGAGAGCCACTTTGGTAGCTTGGTCACCCCTAGAGAGGTGGGGAGATTGCCTTTCTCCATCTACTTTAGTCCCACCTCCTCCTCCACAGAAGGATGCATCTCTTCAGCCCCCAGAGCGACTGGAACATCGGCTGAAGCATTCTGGGAAGCGGAAGAGGGGGGGTTCCAGTGGGGCCACTGGGGAGCCAGGGGACAGCTCTGATCGGGAGCCTGGCCGGCCCTCTGGGGATCGGGCCCGAAAATGGCCCAATAAGCGGAGAAGGAAAGAGGTGAGCTTGTCATAGATCCTTGTCATTTAAAACTCTGGACAGAATGTCCTTCACAGAGACTTGTTTTCCATCAGCAATGCTACTGCCCATCATAAACAGTGATTTTATTCTCTAACAGCAGAGAAGAAGGCAGAGCAAAATTGAGCCCTCACTCCTCAATCCAGGTCTGATAGAGAGATGCCCACAGTCAGACTTTTCCGCTTTTGGCTGGCCCTGTCTATTTCAAACGTGTTGATTAATCAGAGATGTTTAGACTTAATGGAATCCTAAATGAATTAGATACGGTCTCAGATCTCTCCAGGCAATAGCAGTTTAGCAAGAAAGAAACAATCTGAGCAAATACCTAGATCAAAACCTGAGAAGCTACAGAAGGCAGAGATCTGGAAGAGATGCTGCAGAAACCCACATGAGGAAGCCACTCATTCTGCCTGGGGGATGGGAGGAGGGTTGTGGTTAGGGAAAGCCCCCTAGGATGTCTTAGGCCTTGAAGGATAGTCATAAGTTTGCTAAGAGGAGAAACGCGCTAAGTTGTTTTGAGCAAAAGCACAGAGATGTGAAAATATATTCAGAAAATGGCGAGAGCATTGGGAACAGGGTGAGCCATAGCAGAAGCACCTAGAGAGAGATTGAGAGCGTGTCGTGAGGGGCCTTGAGTTCCTTGCTAGAGAGTTTAGACTTTATCCAAAGGCCTCGCCAGTCAGCCTTCCTTATGTCTGGACTCTGGTCTTTCTCAGGCCTCCTCCCGTCATTCTCTGGAAGCTGGATACATAGTAAGTGCTCTCCACCTGTACGGGCCCCTCCCCTCTCAATTCCTCTCTGAAAGTCCCCTCTCTCCCTTGGGCCCCACTCTTCTTCCCTCTTGTGACACCTGTCTTTCCTTTTCCCCAGTGTGATGCAGAAAGCGATCTGGACGAGAGGGTGAGTAGGGCTAGAACTTGTTGGGTGGGCAATGTTGTAATTTGTAAAGTGAAGTCCGGTGTAGGGGTCTCCTACGTGCAGCAGACAGAGCCTCCCCTTCAGTGGGGAACATAGGTTAGGTTGAGCCATGACTGGATTGGGGAGTGGGAGGGTGGGTAGATCGAATGGGTAAAAGACTTTTTTTTTTTTTTTTTTTTTGGTAACTAGAGCCAGTTGACCAAAGAATAGAAAGCCCGTGCCTTGGTGTACCATCTTTTCCAAAGCCCTTGGAGATACCAGTGGTTCTCCACAGAAATTCAGGTGGCTGTCGAACTGAGCTGGTCATTCCTGCTTGCGTTAGTCTGCTCTCACAGATTAGAGTCTGAGCAGAGACCACGGTTATGGCAGCGAGGACACCAAACCATGTGGTCAGTGTAAGAACATGTCTTAGAAAGTTGTATTTCGGTTTATCGTTAGGTCAGATTTGCTTGTTTTGGAATAACGTGTTCTAGCAGCTCATGCTCTACCCCTGTAACAACTAAATTTGTATTCCCTGATGTGTGTCTTGTTTTAGTTTAAAAAGTTGGTTGGACAGGGACTGTGGTGAACCAGAGTTCTTGTCTGTCTAAAGGAGGTGACCACTGTCTAGTTCTAGCTAAGTGTTGCCATGCAAGAAGAGGAGCCAATTCTTAAGGGAACCTGCAAGTCTGAGTGTTTGTGAGCAATTCCTGGGTTTGTAAATATCAGCAATTAGTTTAAAAGGTTTTTGCTGACACTTGGGAGCCAAACAAATCTGTAAGTCAGGTAGTCATATGGGCCAGCACTTAGCGATACCTGACATTTTGGCTTTGATGTGCCTACTTCTCTGCAACGTAAGTGCCACCTCAGTTCAGTCCTCCTGGCCTATCAAATTCTCAGGCTCAGCTCTCCTACCCCTCTTCCCAAGCATAGGCGCCCTGAAGCCCACAGTCTTTGCTGGATTTCAGCTAAGCTGATGGAATAGACTTGCCCCCACTGCCGCTTCCTAGCAGGCTCTGGGGGCTGTTAGTCTTCCTGGGTGAGGGCCTCGCTTGACCGGAACCTGACCCTGTCCCTGCCCTTCTTCCCCAGGTCTCCGATGATGACCTCGACCCATCCTTTACTGTCTCAACCAGCAAAGGTTGGTCTCAAGGGCTGGGGCTGGAGATGAGGGAGGGAAATTGGGGGAGTGTGGGCCTCAGCTGAGTACGTCTGCTGTGCTTTCCTCCCAGCCTCGGGCCCCCACGGCGCCTTCAATGGGAACTGTGAAGCAAAACTCTCCGTAGTCCCTAAAGTGTCGGGCCTGGAGCGGAGCCAGGAACAGCCCCCAGGGCCCGACCCGCTGCTAGTGCCTTTCCCCCCGAAGGAACCACCGCCTCCACCGGCCCCTCGGCCTCCTGTCTCACCCCCTGCAGCCCTGCCGGCCGCCCCCAGTCTGCCACCCCCCCCACAGCCCCAGCTGCAGCTCCGGGTCTCGCCCTTCGGCCTCCGCACTTCTCCCTACGGCAGCAGCCTGGACCTCAGCACTGGCAGGTGGGTGGTCCGGGGTTTGGTCTGGTCTGCAAGGACCTGGCCACTTGGGCGCCAACCCCTGCATTCTGTGGCTGGGACATGGGATGGTACCTGCGGGATGTGACTTGTAAAAGGGATTCAGAGGCTGAAAAGCTTGAGAGACACTGGGTGAAAGAACCGTCAAGTGATTACTTGCTGACAGGACTTGGCAGAACCGTTTCACCCAGCATTCCCGTGCAGGGGAGTCCACTTGGTGCCGATTCCCAACTGTATGTGCTGGTGTAGACCTTTTTGCAAGACACATCTGCTAGGAATAGTGTTCTTCAGAACATACTCTGGGAAATGCTGACATGATTAAGGGTGCTGGCTTTGGTGTTAGACCTGGTTTCAAATTCTTAATCCGCCACTTGCTTAGTGGCTGTGTGATTTTTGACAAGCCACTTAATCTCTCTCAGCCTCAATTTTCTCTTTCTGTAAAAAAAGAAATGGTAACGGTACCTTTACCTTGGTAAAGCTATTGCGAGGATCAATGATGAGTTCATTCAGTGTTTCCCAAAGTGTGTACGTGCATCATTACCAACATGCGAGATCATTTCAGCTGTTACGGGGACAAGTTTTTTTTAGCTGTTAAACGAGCTTTAGAAAAACACGGTTAGTACCTCAACCCTTTGATTTCACACGTGTTGCTTGGGTGAGGCTAAGTAAAAAAGCAAGAAACCGAGTTAAGTGAAAGAAGTAAACGGTACAGGTGGTTACGTGGATGCGGCAGCCGTTGGGAAGGTGGTGTGACATGGTGGAGATTTGGATTAGCATGTAAAGCGGGTGCCAGCACTTGGCCTACAGTAAGTGCTCGCTAAAGGGTAAGAGTCACTGATACGTTACTATTATCGGTGCTGTTTCTAGTATCGTCATCGTTACCGTCCTTTTTCTTGTTCTTGAGAAAACTAAGGCTCAGAGAGGGGCAGTGACTTGCTCAAGGTCACCCAGGGTGTTACTGGCAAGACAGGCCTGGAATTGAGGTCGTCTGACTCCTAGGCCAGGCCCGTGAGGTGCTGCTTCCACTGTCTTAGGGCGGGAACCCAGGTGGCCTGTTGTAATGAAGTGTCAAAGTGAGTGACGTGTTTTGTGCTGCGGTTGAGGCAGGAAAGGGCACGTCCTGTGGCCGGAGACGTCCGAGGCAGCTGTGTGGAAGAGACCTAGAGAGAGGGAGAGAGAAAGAGAGAGAGAGAGGGTTGCCGGGTGTGGGGGGGTACCTCAGTGTGAGGATGGGCTCCCTGGGGGAGGAGGGGCGGCGGCGGGGGGGGGGCGGGGGGGCGGCCTGGGGGCCGGGTTCCACCACCTTCCACGTTGGAGCGCCAGGGTCAAGGTATCGCCTAGGCTGCTGATCCCCCCCCCCGTCAGAGCTGGCACCTCCCAGCCCCTCACTCATCTCCCCACTTCTCTCCCCAGCTCTTCACGGCCGCCCCCCAAGGCCCTGGCCCCTCCCGTGGCTCCGCCTCCCCCCTCATCATCCTCTTCGTCCTCTTCCTCCTCATCTGCCTCCTCCTCGTCCGCGCAGCTCACCCACCGGCCCCCGACGCCCTCACTGCCCCTGCCTTTGTCCACCCACAGCTTCCCCCCACCCGGGCTGCGGCCCCCCCCCACCCCCCCACCACCCCTCCTTGTTCTCCCCTGGCCCCGCCCTGCCCCCACCCCCACCCCTGCTGCAGGTGCCAGGGCACCCTGGGGCCTCAGCTGCTAACGCCCTTTCTGGTGAGTGTGGGGTCCTGGCCGGGGTTGGGGGCCGGGGGGGGGACGCGGTGGGGGGGCGGCGGCGGCCATGGCCCCGGGCTTGGGCCCAGTCGGCTTTGGGGCATCTGGACCTCAACAGATATCAGGGCTTGAGGAGGGAGTGGCTCAAGGCCAGAAGGGAAGGCCGGTCCCCCCCCCCACCCCCCGGGCCCAAGGAGGCTGACCTGGTGGCACCAGACGTTAAAGCCTTCTCCCCCCTCCCCTCCCACAGAGCAGGACCTGATCGGCCAGGACCTGAACTCTCGCTACCTGAATGCCCAGGGTGGCCCCGAGGTGGTGGGGGCAGGGGGCTCGGCCCGGCCCCTGGCCTTCCAGTTCCACCAGCACAACCACCAGCACCAGCACACCCACCAGCACACCCACCAGCACTTCACCCCTTATCCCCCGGGCCTGCTGCCACCCCACGGCCCCCACATGGTGAGCTCCTCACTGGGCCAGTGATGAGGCCCGGAGACTTGGGGGGAGGGTGTGGCTTCCAGGGGAAGGTCTTGGGTCCCTGGCTGGCAGCTTACTCTTCCCTTCTCTTCCCTAGTTTGAGAAATATCCAGGAAAGATGGAAGGCCTTTTCCGGCATAATGTGAGTGTGTGTGTGTGGGGGTGGGGGTGGGTGTGGTGTGGTGTGTGGTGTGGTGTGGTGTGGCGTGTGTGGGCACAGACGCATCAAGGTGTGTGGTGGCCCTGACTGTTGGGGTCCAGTCTTCAGCTTCAAAAGCAAGAGCCTTGAGCCTGGGAGAGCTCCCTGGGGGGTTTTAGGGTGGAGGCCCGAGGACTGATGGGCAGACCAGACGTGGGCTGCACCTCCACCCCCGGCTTGGACTAGTCCCCTTCTCTCCACAGCCGTACTCGGCCTTCCCTCCCGCAGTGCCCGGCCTACCTCCGGGCCTCCCGCCGGCTGTCTCCTTTGGCTCCCTGCAGGGGGCCTTCCAGCCCAAGGTGAGCTCCCAATCCAAACACCACCACCTCCCACCCCCTACAAACCCAGACACCACACCCCGCCTCCCTGCCCCCCAGATCCACATACCTCCTTCCATTTCCCAAAGCCATGCCTGTTCTGCCCTCCCCCTGTGGACCCAGCTTTCTTCAGAGCCATCCTCCCTCCCTGTCCCAGCCCCCAGCCTTGGTTCCAGACCCCTTTTATGCCTGGTGCCAGCTCTCCTGACTGATCCCTCCCCTTTCCCAGAGCACGAACCCCGAGCTGCCACCACGACTGGGGCCAGTGCCAAGCGGGCTTCCCCAAAAGGGGACACAGGTGAGGGGGGCCAAGGCAGGTCCTGGGGGAACTAGAGTATCTGTTGAGGGAGAGCAGGGTTGATTGAGAGCAAACCACTGATTGTTGCCTTTAATGTACGATCAGGGGTATCTCTGAGAATCTGATGAGAAGGAATGGCTGTAGATGACAAGGTTTCCCAGGCACGAGGAATAGGAATTTCATGAAGTTGCCCCAGAAATAAGATTACTGGGACAGTGGTTTTTGTGGGAGTGGTTCACATTTTTTAAGTCACAAAAATCTTTTTTTTTTTCCTCAAATGACATCATACCAGGAAGTCCTGTCCGTAAAACAATGAAAAGATAAGCTGCCCCTTTGTGAAGTGGCACAGGGAGCAGCTTTCGAGCCCGTGGCTCTGGGAACATCGGGAAAAGCACAGGATGTGTTTCCTAAAGGAGAGACTAGACCAGATACCTTGCAGGGTCTTCTAGCAGCAGTAAAGGTTTTTTTCTAAAGAAATTTTAAGTAGAGCCTCATGACATAAAGCTGTTAATAGGAGAGTTTCTCTGGTTGAGAAACCTGTCCTGCCTGCCCGCTAACCCATTCCCCAGTCTTCCAGGCAGGGCACATCCTTGGGGTCTGATTCAGGAACTTAGTGCTGGAAGGGAAATGCCCAGAGTGGGAGAGATGGGGAGAGGAGTCTTAACAGGAGCGGGAAAGGCGTGAGGGAGCCACACAAGGTCTCCAGTGTTTGGGTGGGGATTAGGGACTATGGAGATGAGGTGCCCAGGACAGTAAACAGGTCTGAATCGCCACCAATCTCTTGCTTTGCCATCCCCAGATCCCCGACCATTTCCGGCCACCTTTGAGGGTGAGTTTGGTGAGGACCTCAGACTGCATGAGGCTGGGGGCTGGTGTCAGGGTGTTTGGTTGAGGGCGGGTCTTGCTTGGGAATGAGCCAGAAGCCCAAGACATGGAGGCAGCCAGATGTGGAACAGCAGAAAGGGCAAGGCTTATATGCCACAGACCTGGGTTCCGACGTAACTGGCTATGGGACCTTGGGCAAGACAGTTTCTCTCTCTGAGCCTCAATTTCCTAGGCCATGAAATGAACCTAGTCATCCCTCAGTTGTAGGGATGATGAATGGGGATGTTGTGTGGAAAGGCTGGGCTGAGGACCAGGCCTGGAGTGGATGATGAGTGAACGTTCTTTCCTTCCCTTTCCCTTTGGTTATCCTTCTGGGGCGGCAGAAACCAGGGAAGTGGTGTGCCATGCACGTGCGCGTGGCTTACATGATCCTGAGACACCAGGAAAAGATGAAGGTACTGGGGCTGGAGGGCTGGGGCAAGTGGGCTGGCCTGAGCCTTGGGCATCTGCCTTTGGCCGAATCTTGGCCAGAAACATCCCCTCCTGTCCCTGGTCACTGCCTGAGTTCTTTCACAGTAAAGTTAGCACTAGGTTCTCTGGCTAACTAGGGGGGATGGTCCGAGAAGGCGCTGAGAGAGGCGGAGGCTAGGCACCCAAGCCCCATCTTGGCTCCAGCCAGCCCTTGGAGGGGACCTAGGGGTGGAAGAGCAAGAGCGGGACCTCACTTGGCTCCTCACTCACCACCCCTCTCCCTGTCCCATGCAGGGCGACTCCCACAAGCTTGACTTTCGGAACGACCTCCTGCCCTGCCTTCCGGGGCCCTATGGGGCCCTGCCCCCTGGGCAGGAGCTCTCCCACCCGGCCGCCTCCCTCTTCACTGCGACTGGTGAGTCTGGCCAGCCCTCTTGGGGCTTGAGGTTCCCTGTCTCTAGCCCAAGGCCCACCTTGCGCCCACTCAGCCTCATCAGAATCTCCCACCTCTCTGCCCCAGGTGCCGTCCACGCTGCAGCCAACCCTTTCACGGCAGCTCCCGGGGCCCACGGACCCTTTCTGAGCCCCAGCACCCACATTGGTAAGAGCCAAGGGCACGATGGGCAACCCCAGCCTGGTCCCTGACTTTCAGGCGTTCTCAAGCTGGGGATGGAAATTAGGCCAGAGAGGCAGCTGGAATGGGGGTAGGCCTGGTGCCACTTGGTTTGTGACCTTGGACGAGTTACTCTAACCCCTCTGAGCCTTGATCTCATCACCTATGAAATGGGATAGGGCAGGGCAGAGAGACTGCCAGGCTCTGCCGGCTCAGATGCTCTCTGAACTAGCCAGTGCTGGGGGTAGTGTGCCACCTGGGCGAGGAGGCTGGAGGAAGGCTGTGCGGGCCCGGGCGGAACGTCGGCACCGGCTCCGGCTCCTAGCAGTCTCAGCAGGCTTTGCAGGGAGATTTCACCGGGGTCTGGGTCAGCAGGAGGACATGGAGCCTGATGGCGTAGGGAAAGGTGTTCCTGGAAGAAGGAAGTGTGAGCTGTTCCCGTAGTAGAATAAATAAGTTAGTCGTTCTGACTGGCTACAGGCATGAGATTAGGGTCAGGTCGGGAAGGGCCCTGCATGTCAGGTGGGCGGAAGCCGGCGGGGATCTTCAGGCAGATGGCTTGCTGTAGAGCTGGTCTGGGTGGCTGGTGTGGGGGATTGTGGGGTTAGAGCTTGATCTCTGGAGTCACAGAGGCCCTGGCTTGGGGGGTACCACTTCCTGGCTAGATGACTGACCGTTGGCAAGTCACTTCACCTCTCTGAGCCTGTTTCGTCATCTTTAAGTGGGAGCGGTCCTGTCTGCCCCATGGGGCTTGTCGGTTTGTGAGGTTAAACGACACCGTGCGTGTCACAGCTCAGTGTCTTGCGAGGCCCAAGGGAGTGCTCAGCACCCTGTTGTTACAACCAAGACCAGGCGGCTGGTGGGGCTCCGGGGCCTTGCTCCGGAGCTGCCTCTTCCCTGCCGGTCTTGGTGCCTTGGTGCCTGCTCAGAGCCGGCAGCCCAGTGCTCTGACCATCCCCCTTTCCTCCCACAGATCCCTTTGGGCGTCCCACAAGCTTCGCCTCCTTGGCTGCCCTCTCCAACGGGGCCTTTGGAGGCCTGGGCAGCCCTACATTCAGTGAGTGCGGGTGGGGCCGGGCGGGGCCGGGCGGGCCGGCGGCTGGGGGGTAGGGGGGTGGGGTCCCCGAGTGGGGCGGCCGCCGCCTCCTCGCGGCTCCTGTCACTCTCTCCTTCCCCCCCTGTCCAGACTCCGGCGCCGTGTTTGCCCAGAAAGAAAGCCCAGGGGCCCCACCAGCCTTCGCCTCCCCCCCAGACCCATGGGGCCGCCTGCACCGCAGTCCTCTGGCCTTTCCTGCCTGGGTCCGGCCCCCTGAGGCCGCCCGGACACCAGGCTCAGACAAGGAGCGGCCTGTGGAGCGGAGGGAGCCCTCTCTCCCCAAGGAGGAGAAAGACAGGTGTGCTTGCCCGCCCCGCCCGCCCCGGCTGCCCGGCCGCCCGCCGGCCGGCGCCCACCGCTGGAGGCCCTCTGTTCTCTCCCCAGGGACCTCCCCTTCTCACGGCCCCAGCTCCGCGTTTCTCCCGCTACTCCCAAGGCCCGGGCTGGCGAGGAAGGGGCCCGGCCGGCCAAGGAGTCCGTGCGGGTAAAGGAAGAGCGGAAGGAGGAGGCCGCCGCTGCTGCCGCCGCCGCTGCCGCCGCCGCCGCTGCCGCCGCCGCCGCCGCCGCCGCTGCCGCCACGGCCGGGCCCCAGGGCCTTCACCTGCTGTTCGAGAGGCCGCGGCCGCCCCCCTTTCTGGGCCCCAGCCCCCCCGAGCGCTGCGCTGGCTTCCTGGAGCCCACCTGGTTGGCAGGGCCGCCTCGCCTGGCCAGGCCGCCCCGTTTCTATGAGGCCGGTGAGGAGCTGACGGGCCCCGGGGCCGTGGCGGCCGCCCGCCTCTACGGTCTGGAGCCGGCCCACCCCCTGCTGTACAGCCGCTTGGCGCCCCCGCCGCCGCCGCCGCCACCGCCGCCCACCGCGGCCCCGGGAACCCCTCACCTTCTCAGCAAGACACCCCCAGGAGCCCTTCTGGGCGCACCACCTCCACTGGTGCCCGCCCCCCGGCCTAGTTCCCCACCGAGGGCCCCTGGCCCAGCCCGGGCTGACAGGTGAGGGGAGGGGAGGGACGGGGGAGGGGGCAAAGCTCCGTTCCCCCTTTCCTTTTGACAAGGTCCTAGAGCTGAGGTTTCAAGCCAGGGCTGGAGGGCAAAGGTCACGACCTCACCAGCCACCTCTGAGGTCATGGAACCTGGGAGCAGAAGCCCCCACCCCCACAAGACCAAGCATCAGATGGACCTTGGGGTCACCGGGAGGGCAGAGGTCACAAGCCTCTAGAGAGAGGTGTGTGTGTGTGTGTGTGTGTGTGTGTGTGTGTACATGAGAGGTGAGAGTGGGGGTCATGTCAGAGGTCATAGCTCGTGATCTCCTGAGGTACACCATCCCCCCCTCTGAGGGCCCCTAGGCCCTTGGCCTGCCTCCCCAAGGGCTCACTAAGCCAGAGGCCAAAGTGCCCCCCTCCCCTTCACCTACCACCCAAGTCCTCATGCCCTCTCAGGGCTGGGGGAGGAGGGGCTAACGGAAGGGGGGTTCCATGTACATATTTATCTCCCCTTCCACATAGCCCCCCAGACCTTTTGTACATTTTTACAGGGGTGCCCCTCCCAATAATCCCCCTTCCTGGTTAATTAAATCCTCAGACTGGTGCTGTGTTCCTAGCCTCTGGCCTCTCTGTGGGGGGAGGGGGGATTGTAGAGGGAAGAGCTGGGAGGGGACAGGCCGGAACCCAGGGCTTTTATCCCTGGGAATATGGAGTCAGCAGGAGACAGAGCAACTCGGGAAGGGACCTGGGTACCTAGGCTGGAAAGAAGGGCAGATGCTTCCTGCTTGGCTGACAGCCCAGGTCCGCCCCCCACCCCCCCACTTGTTCCTGTTACCTCTGTGTGCCACCACCCCCAAAAGGCTCAATCTCTAAGCTTCAGCCTCTTAGTGGCTCAGTTCCCCCTACTCCATTTCCAAGTGCCCCCAGGACTCCTGGGCCCTGCCCTCCAGAACCCTGTTCCCCAGAACCCTGCCCTAGGCTGGGGAGGCGGGCAGAGAAGGTCACCATGTACCACACACCAAAGAAGGGGGTCGGCCCGGGGGCGGGCCACACAGGCAGCTCCTTCAGCAGCCTCTCAGCGGCAGCCCCAGCCTTCCCAAAGCAGCAGGCACCCCCAGGCTGGGGCCCGACCTAGAAGGCAGGGCTCAGTTTAACAGAAACGTAACGTTGACTTTTTTTCCCCCGCTGGGGCTTATTCTGTAACATGACTTGCGGATATTTATATAAAAACGAGTGTTACAATGAGGCCCCTTGGCTGCTCTTTCAGTGTGTGTGGGTCATCTGGGGGTGGGGGGGGTACCTGGTCAGGGAGGGATGAGGGAGGACAATACTAGGCATGTCCTGATGAAGGTTCGCCCTCCCTCCCACCTGGGAGAGCTGTTCCTTTACTTGTGGATGGTTGGATTGGAGCATTGGGCATTGAAGCTTTTCAGTTTCTACAACCCGTACATATTATACAGGATTCAAACAATACAGAAGAATAGCAAAACTAAATTTCCCGTTTACCTGCCAACCCATGCTAAGCTTTGTGCCTTTCCTGAGGTAACCACTCAGTCGTTTGGTCTGTGCTCTTCAGGCCCATTTTTGTGTGTTTATCTACACGTGTGTACATGCATAGTTCTGTTAGAAAAGATGTACAGGTTTTTTTTTTTTAGAAACTATTGGTTTTTCTCTTATATATGATCACTATGAAATGAATACAAATACATAGCACAAGGGGAAAGTGCCTTATAATCTCACTCCTCAGAGGTGACCACTACTAATTGTCAGGAATATATCTTCCTCTAGTTATTTTTCTAGCTGTATGCTTCAAATACTGTGAAAAAGATGGGATCCTGTGAGATGTATGATTTTGCAACTACCTTTTTACACTTAACGTTATTTTTTGATGCGGTCATTAAAAACCAAGTGACTAAACTGAGCTAGAGAGGCTGGCTCCCACCCGAGCCGCCCGGAATTGTCCTGTCCACTGTACGCATCACCTTAGGGAAGATGGCCGCCAACGTTCTCTGCTCCACATGCCCAAGGCCTCTAGGGAAGGCTCAAGCCTTGACTGTTCAAACAGAAATCAGAAACAGTTGACCAGAAAGACATGGCAGTCCTTGTTTTCAACTTCTTAAGAAAAATCTAAAAATCTGTTGACACTATACCTGCTTTCTCTGTGGCTGCCCCCTTGAGATGGGGCATGATCTCTCCAGATCGCCACTGTCTCCTCCACTCTTGTTTAGGAAGGAGTCGTCGTCACTACTGAGGTACCTCCCTGGTCCCCGTACACATTTGAGTGTGGAACTCTCAGAAGAATACCTCCTAGATACGTATGCCCAACGTCTCCTAGACCCCCCCAAAAGTAACTTAGATACCCAGTCGTCTCCCAGATCAGATGCTGTACCCCCTAGCCCGACCCACTTCCATCTCTCTTATCAGCACCCAAGTCAGAAAGCTCCCTCTTACTTCACTTGATTCACGGTCGGAACTAAGCTCCCTCTTACTTCCCTTGATTCACGGTCGGAACTGCGTTGTATTCTTTCTACCACTGTTCTTTTGATCACCCCAGCCACTGACGTCGTGGCTGGGGATACAGAGGTAAACAAAACAAAAAAAAACCCAGCTCTCCTGGAGCTTAGGCGCCGGTCCTAGGAGGAGTAACAGCACATGCTTCCAAAAGACAAGGAGGGTGAAGGGCACGACTCCCCAGGGCTACCTTTTTGGGGCCTGTCCTTAGAACCACTAGGCTTCATTGACCCATCTTTGCATGATCTGATCTGAACTCAGGAGCTCCTCAGAGGTAAAAGAGGAATCCAGAAGGACTGAGTGCCAGGGAAAGGCAAAACAAAACCAAAATCGTTTCACCATCATGAGGCTGCTATTTGGAAATGCATTTTTTTGTTGTTTTGAATGAACTCAGAAGTGTAGCTGTGTAATCTTAAGCAGTGTGCTTATTTCTGAGCCATGGTTTATTTGTAGAATGGACAGCGTTTTTTTTTTTTAATTTGAAGATCTAATTGACTCTATTAAATGATTCATGGATTGGGCGGCACCCCATCTAGCAAATGGAGAGGTGCTCCTAAAATGGAGGGTTTTTAACACTTCACTGAGATAAAATTCACCCCGTCTTTTATGACTGGCTTCTTTCACTTAGCATGATAAGCATTCCTTTTTATTGCCAAACAATACTCCATTATATGGATGTACCACATTGTGTTTATCCATTCTTCAGTTGATGGACATTTAAGTTGTTTCTTTAAAAAAGATTTTATTTATTTTGAGGGCGGGGAGAGAGAGTGCCTGCGGGGGGGTGGGGGGCCGTAAGAGCAGAGGGAGGGGGCAAGCTGACTCGGGTGAGCGCAGAGCCTGATGGTGGTGGGGGAGGGGGCTGGATCCCACAACCCTGAGATGACCTGAGCCGAAACCAAGACGCTTAACTGACTGAGCCACCCAGGCGCCCTAGGTAATACCTTTCTGGTTTGAAACTCCCAAGAAGCAGATCTTAGAGCTCAGTTAAGGAGAATGGCTTACTTACATGAAGTTTATTGGGAAGGCACATTTTTCAAAACAGACTTTGAGGTGAGGAGCATCTATCATAGGGGCAGAAGAAGTCTGAGCCAGTGAAGAACACAGGTTTAGAGCCGCCTTCATCAGACAGACCAGAGTTTGAGTTCGCCTCCACCAACTAGCTCTGAGACTTTGGTCTTTAGCCTGCTTCCGCTTTTCAAAGAAAATGACAATCCCAGCCCACAGGTTCATTGTGATAGTTACATGCAGGTAGAGGGTACTGAGCACAGAATTGAGTACACAGTGGACATTCACCAAATGAGAGTGTTGTTACTGATTGCAGCGGGAAAAACTATAAACAGGTCCCCAATTTCAAAATAGGTAGGTTGAAGTTCAGAGAACTTTATATGAGGCATGGAGTTAGGAGAAGAAAGGAGACATACACATTTGGGGAGGAGATTAAAAAAATAAACCTGATTATTGTTAAAACAGCTTTAGAGGGGCGCCTGGGTGGCTCAACTGCTTGGGCATCTGCCTTCATCTTGGGTCATGGTCTTAGGGTCCTGGGATCGCGCCCTTCATCGGGGCTCTCTGCTCGGCGGGGAGGCTGCTTCTCCCTCTCGCTCTCCCTCTATGCTCTCCCTCTCTCAAATAAATAAAATCTTAAAAAAAAAAACGAAAACAGCTTTAAATATACAAAAAAATTGGCAAAGATAGTAAGCGAGTACAGAGACTTCCTATATGCCCCGAACTCAGTTTCCTGTATTAACACCTATTAACATCTCACATTTGTTACAATTCATCAATCAGTATTGGTGCATTATTGACTTAAGTCCAACTTTATTCAGATTTCCTTGTTGTTGTTTTTTTTTAAGATTTATTTATTTGAGAGAGAAAGAGAGGGAGATTGCACCAGCAGGAAGGGCAGAGGGAGAGAAAATCTCAAGCAACCTCTGCGCTGAGCAAGACCGACCTGGAGATCATGACCTGAGCCAATAACCAAGAGTCAAAAAAAAAAAAAAAAAAAGAGGCGGACGCTTAACGGACTGCATCACCCAGGTGCCTCCAGTTTTACCTAATGTCCTTTGCCTGTTCCAGGATCCCACAAGGACACCACATTACGTTGTCATCATGTCTCCTTAGGCTCCTTTTGACCATGAATTTTCTAGACTTTCTCTGTTTTTGATGATCTTGAGTTTTGAGGAGTATTGGTCAGGTATTTTAGAAAATGTCCCTTATTTGGGATTCATACGTTGTTTTTCTTAGGCTATAGTTTTTCTTAGACTAGAGTTATGGGTTTGGGGAGGAAGCAGAGGTAAAGTGCTGTTTTCATCACATTGAGTCAGTGGTACATGCCTTCAAGATGATCCATCCTTGTGGCTGAGGCAGTTCCTGTCAGTTTCCACTGCAAAATTACTCTTTCCCCCTTTTTTGCATATTCTACTCTTTGGAAGGAAGTCACTCTGCAGCCCAGACTGTGGGAATTGGGAAATTATGCTCCACCTCCTTGAGGGTGGAGTATCTACATAAATTACTTGGAATTCTGTTTAGGAAATGTGTCTCTTCACCCTTTATTTATTTATTCAATCATTTATTTATATTAGGATGGATTCATGGATATTTCTTTTCTTCTTTAGGTTATACCGCAGTACTCTTTTATTTATTACTCCCCGGTTTTCATTTGGCTCCTGTGTCCCTTTCATTGTGGGGTTTTATTTTGCTTTTTTTTTTTTTTTAGCAGAAGCTGATTTTTTTTCTGTTTACCCTTTTGTATCTTTTGGTTTTTGTCTCATGTGCATGTATTATCTGTTCTTAAAAGTTAAAAACTGCCAGTGTAATTAACATAAAAAGTTTGTAGCTTATAAAAGAAGGTAGAATCGGGGGGGCACCTGGCTGGCTCAGTCAGAAGAACATGCGACTCTTGATCTTGGGGTCATGAGTTTGAGCCCCACATGGGGTGTAGAGATGACTTAAATAAAAGTTATTTTTAAAAATTTATTTTTTTACTTTTTAAAATATTTTATTTATATTTTTTAATTCTTTTTATTTTTTATTTTTTTTTAAGATTTTATTTATTTATTTGAGAGAGAGAGAGAATGAGAGATAGAGAGCACGAGAGGGAAGAGGGTCAGAGGGAGAAGCAGACTCCCTGCCGAGCAGGGAGCCCGATGCGGGACTCGATCCCGGGACTCCAGGATCATGACCTAAGCCGAAGGCAGTTGCTTAACCAACTGAGCCACCCAGGCGCCCTTTTAATTCTTTTTAAAAAGGAGGCGGAGTAAAAAGTCTCCTTCCTTCCCCTGATCACGCCTGCCTTGCTCCATTTCAGCTTTTCAGAGATACCATGTTGATTTCTTGTTTGTGTCTCCAGAACAGTTCTTTTTTTCTTCTTTCAAACAACTATTTACATATTACACACTGTTCTGTATGCTGTTTTTCTCGAATAACTATCTCTTGCAGGTTATAGCATTCCTTTGTGAGGCTATACCATAATATATTTAACCAATCTCCATTAGTGGACATTCATGTTCTTTCCAGTCTTTTACTAGAACAGGGAGTGCTGCAGTGCCTACCCACCTCTTTGTATACCTGAGCAAATAAACCTGCAGGATAAATTTCTAGGCAGAGAATTGCTGAGTCGAAGAACATAGGCGCTCAAAATTTAGACACTAAATTGTCCTGCACAAACCTCATGCCAGTTGCCAGTTCTCACTCTCACCAAGAACGTAGGAGAGGACCTGTTTCCCCACACCC